ACTCTCATGTACACTGGTGCTGGAGAACCCTTGATTTACTTCTGTCCAAGAATTTTAAGGCCCTAGGGTAGTGAAGGCATCTGTTTTAATGTCTACAACATAGTACACACTTGACAAGTAACTGGCAAATAAATGAGTGATTGAACAGAGGGAGCGAAGTGGCTTGTGGGTTCCCTCCTCCCTCACTCTCTTCCAAACATTACCTGTTCCATCCCCCGCTGGAGCACATGATAACTAACTCATGCTCAAAGTTGTACCCCCCACCCCCCTGCCCAAATAAACCTGTGAGAAGCCACCTGGCTTCCTCCCGGCCACATGTCAGGTGTAACTGATCCAGGATGCCATCCTGACAAGGGCGGGAGAAAGGAAGCAGGGGGAGGACATTCTGTCCCCAGGACCAGCACTTCGGCCCTGCCTGGATCTAAGCCACCTGGCTCAGGCCTTCCTCACCATGCCTGGGAATCAAGTTGGAGGGATTATGTCCTTGGAGATTCTGCATTGCTAACGCTTCTGATGTAAATTGCTACCTAAACTAGTCAGTTTAAATTATGTAGGAATTTGAAAGCTATATATTTGAACATTTACGAATAACAATGGATTTTTTTTTTAAAGCAAATTTACAGTAGAAAGTGAGAGACACCCTGGGTGAGATATCATCTGTCATTTATTCAGTCACAGATAATTACTAAGAGCTCCTTAGGGATACAACGATGGAGTCATTTTCCTCAATGGTGACTACAGTATAGTGGGGGGAGATGGACAAGCTAATAATATTATCTAACTTTTTCATAGTACCTATGATGTGCTGGACACTTCAAAGGTGTATATTTATTTCGTCATTGTAACAACTAAGTAATGTTCTATTATTATCCCCCATTGTAGAGTTAAAACTGATAGAGTCAGGAAGGTGAGTGTAGGGAGCAGGGAGTCCTAATCTAGAACTTAGGGTCAGGGAAGATTTCTCTAAATATAAGAGACTGAAGTGGAGATGTGAGTGAGGATTGAGTTTGAACCCAGTTGAGTTTGCCTGTTGGGTGAAGAGATTTTCAGGCAACGGAAACAGCAGATGCAAAGGGACAATCATTTGAGGAATAGAAAGGCTGCTTTGTAGAGGGAGCACAAGGAGCCCAAAATAAGGCAAGAAAGGTAGGAAGGGGCCAGGTCACCTAGGCTTTTTTTTTTCTGCCTTCAAATATAAGGTTAGGCAGGCGGATAATTAGGAGATTTGGGGCTTAGTCCTAGCTTTGCTCTTTTTTTATTTAAAAAAATATTTTATTTACTTATTTTTAGAGAGAGGGGAAGGGAGGGGGAGAGAGAGGGAGAGAAACATGGCCCACAACCCAGGAATGTGCCCTGAATGGAAATCAACCAGATCTTTCCGTTCACAAGCGGGCACTCATTCCAATGAGCTGCACCAGCCAGGGCTGGCTTTGCTCCTAATAACCTCAGCCATCTCTCTGTGGCTCAGTTTCCTTATCTGAGGGGAAAAAAACCCAAAACTGAGTGGATGGACTCTCAAGTGGGCACTGGTTCTAAATATCTGATTCTAACTAGGTAAGGCTGGGCTGGAAGGCCATCGCCAAATCTGATCGGCAGTCCCTAGCTGCTGCTGAATGCACGGAGGTCTCTGACTCCTCCGTAGATGAAGTACAAATGATGGAGAGCGTCATGCACAATAAATCACACAATAAATATGGATGTATGTATGGTTTGCTTCCCTTGTTTGAAATGAAGGGAGAACCAATAACAATGTAATAAGAATGATGACCTCTTTTGAGCTTTTACCATGTGACAGATTGTAGCAGGTACTTTTAGGTAGATTCAAAAGGTGAGGCCTCAGTGATTACACAATTTAGGGAAGGTCCTTACCACCCAAATTTGTCCTGCCTATTGAACTCACCCGGTCCTGTTTTGTGTGGCCAGGTGTGTTAACTTGAGCAGTGACTTTCTCTGGGTTTGCTCAGTGGCTAAGTTGAAATTTGAACCCAGTTTTGACTCCACAGTTTACGGAGTTCACTACCATTCGATGCTGAAATAGCATGACATTGTCTATTAAAGTCCTTTCTGGATGAGGGAAGTGCTTTTTATAGTTGGGACTGCTTCTGTTTACTTGGTCTCTTCCAGCACTTGTTAATTCTGCCTACAGCTGTGTCCTTCACTGTCCTTACACTGTATTCCTAGGTTTCCTCTCTGCAAAAGACAACTCCACGAGACCACATGGTGCTTGTGTTTGTGCCAGCAAAGAAATTTCACTCCTCTCCCTCTCCAAATCAGTCTAGCCTTCTAAAAATAATCGTTCTCCTCCCTCCCCTCAGGGCTGAGTAGTTTAGTCACTTAACCAAACACAGGCACACTCACAAAGGTTTCAGGGTGGGAACAACGTGAATGACCTTGCAAAGGTATCTGGCCCACCAGGGACAAGATTAACAAACCTGAAAGCTCTACAGATATCTAACGTCTTCCTCCTGCATTCCTCCGGAAGCTTCCTGCTCCTCTCTCGCCCGCCTCGCCCAGTCTCCCCTCGGCTTCCTCGGCTATACAAAGCCCAACCCGCCCATCTCTCTGCAAACCCAGAGAACTTCAGTCCCCATGTTGAAAGTCGTCGGCGGCGGTGGCGGGCAGGACTGGGCATGCTCAGTAGCGGGGACAGGTCTGGGAAGCGAGGAAGCCGCGTTTGAAGTCGCGCGGCTCAGGGATCCGGGGGAGGCGGGTTGCGGGGGCCCCGGTTGGGGGTGCGCGGAGATCCCAGATTCCGCGCCCGGGGCGGGCATGCTTAAGGCCGGTGTCGGGGGGACCGCGTGCGGGGGCCAGGACGCGGAGGAGCTGGGGGAGCCGGTGGGAGGAGGGGAGGAGCGCTCAGCTCGCCATCCCCCGGCGCCGGCTCTGCGGCTGCTGAATCGGAAGCCGCAGGGAGGATCCGGGGAAATAAAGACGTCCGAGAATGACCTCCAGCGAGGCCGTCTGAGGCGGGGCCCGCGCGCTGTCCCACCAGGCTCCGGCATGGGTGACTACGGTGGACAGGCAGAGCGCTCGGCCCCGCACACCCCGGGGACCCCCCCGGGCGCTGGCGCTGCTGCGGTGAACGGGCTGCTGCACAACGGCTTCCACCCGCCGCCCGTCCAGCAGCCGCGCCCCCGCAGCCGGGGCTCTACCGGCGGCGGCGGCGACGCCGCGCCCCCGCGCCTACCGCTTCTGCCGGAGCTCAAGCCGCAGCCGCCGCCCCCTCAGCACGACTCCCCGGCCAAGAAATGCCGCCTCCGGAGGAGGATGGACTCCGGAAAGAAGAACAGGCCGCGTAAGTCCCCTGGGAGGGGAGCGCCGGCTAGAGGCAGGCGCAGCGCGCGGGGCCAGGCACCCCGGGCGGCGGGGCGCGCCCGGTGCGCCTCAGCGCCCACCGCCAGGGGAACAGGTCGGCGGTCGCGTCCGGAACTAGTTTTTTTCCCCCGAGGGATTCTAAGTAGTAAAGCTCGCAGCCGGAGCCTGAGCTTTGCCTGTTTGCATCTGTAGAATGGGCCGATTGGACACGGAGCCTGAGCTGCTACTTAGGTCGATGCTCTATAGAAGGCAAAGGCACTGTCGGGCTTTGTAGTTTGTCGATGGATGGAAAAATGCACGCGTGTGAACATTTGATGGGGTACGGGAGTAAGGATAGAGCTGGAGGGAATGTCGGAACTCCCTTTTCCCTCCTCATAGCTTGTCTTTCTGGGGTTGGCGCTCCGGCAGCCAGCTTGTCCTTTGAATCGTAGAGTAGCCGTCAGAACCTTGGGTCTATTGGCGAGCGCAAGATCTGGAGGCGTGGAGTTTGACAACCCTCCAAATCACAGCCTATAAAACGCTGTTACTTCACAGCCAATGAAAGGACCTGTTGGGCCAGACACACCCACTGATACCATGTGGGCCGGAACTCTGTGGGCCAATGAGGATTGGAGGTGGATTTTTTTTTTTTTCCTCCGGGAGTGGAGAGGTAGAGTTGAGGTTTCTAGTGGTAATGAAACCTGAAATGCATTATTTCACAATCTAAAGTTTGTATATGTAATGTTACTTTGTAGAGCACCTTCCCAGCAGGGCGTTCTGGAATATAAGTTTGTAGGTCGCGTTTAGAACTAGTTTTTCCTATCTGAACCGATCCTCATCCAACTAGTTGCCTCTTTCTGGGTGTCTTTAATGAAGCTTAAAAATGGCAAAAAACAAAGTAAGTAGAATGCATGCTAATAAATGATTGCATTAAAACATGCACCTTTTGCATATAGGTTATTGTTTGATATAGGGAACTTTGCTAGATAAGTTTGGGATGTGCCTGTAAAAGCTTAGTATTTAGCAAACAACTTTAGTTTCTTCTGTGTCTGTTTATCAATTTGGACTCAGCTTTTCTGCATTCAGTTAAAGTCTTTGAGACTTTGGAAAGTATTTTAACCTGATTGGAATGTGGTGACTGATACTGTGTTCTGTAGGTCTGAAATGTTTAGGTTGAATGTTAAGATCTTGCCTTGAACTTTGAAGCCACACGGCAGATTTGGATATGGTTCTAGGGAAGACATCTAGCACCTGAATTTATCTTTACTTTTGTTTTTGAGATTTTTTAAAAGAAAAATGACTTTATTTATGCACTTAATGTTGTTACTTACGATTTATTAACCTGTTTTACTTATTTTGAAACCACATTTCACTCTTCTGGTCTACATTAACAAATTGTACAAGAGTTTGCAATGTAAATAGCTGAAATACAATGAAAGAACTGTATTGAATTTTTGTTTAGTATTGCTAGCTTGAATGGTCTGTGTTTAATTGAGGGTATAACACATCTTAAGATAATTTATGAGGAATTGAAAATACACTCTTGATAATGGCTTGGAGGCAGAGTAAAAATAACCTTGAGCCTTAACTTATGCCTGCAAATCCACAGGAATCATTATTTTAGAATATAAGAAAATATAACTTTATGCCTCTGTGCTCTGTGTCAGAAAGTGGTTTGTATTTTTTACAAAAATACAAATGTTATTTTAAGTTTAGTAATAGCACCTGATACTTACTTACTTACAAACTTTTTAAAAGGATTCATCAAAATTGACTTCTCATTAGATTCCGGCTTGACACACAGAAGTTATTCTGTAAATACCAGCTGTCTTTACCATACAGAACACCATCAACTATTAATCCATAGAACAAGACAGTTGAGCTGGCAGAGACAACCTCAGACTGACTTTCTAAGTTTAAAAAAAAAAAGGCCTAGAATAAGAAAGACCAAAAAGTTTTGTTTGATTAGCTGTAACACTCCTAGTCTCATAATTACTTTATTTTACCCTCCCCCCTCAACTGAATAACACAGAAATACACCAAAAAAAAGCAGGAAAAAGTGCCCATAGTCCTGTCACTCAGAAAACAGCTTAAAATGTGCCATAAAGGTAGTACTAAAATGACATTTTGATTACATTTTTATTTTAAAAATTTTAGCACAAGCATTTTCTTATAGTATTAAAATATCATTTTTAATGATTGCATTGTTTTCTCAATATCCTCTTATATGAATATACCATAATTTACTTACCCTGTCACAGAGCTTTGGGCTGCATTGGGTCTCTATGTCATTACTAGTGCTGCAGCACCACCTTTGTACATGACTCTATCTATCCCGTGTGATTTTCAAGGAAATTGATAAATACATGCATACTTTTTGGAGGAGGAACAGAAATGGCACAAAGTAGTATATAGATGTTGCCTTGAAATCCTGGATATTTTAGACCCCAACGTCACTGTTTGATAAGCACACTGGAGGAGAGAGGAGGAATACGTAAAGAAGATCATTGTTTGAGTTGCTGAACACTGTGCTAACAGGAGGGAAAATATTTTAGCATGTTGACAACGGTGGAGGATAGGAGCTGCCTTCCTCCTCTGTGTTGAAACAGGCAGGAATAAGTACTGGATTAGTGCATTGGCCCTCTGGGAAGGGAAGATCTGACTTCTCAGGTCATTCAGATAGAACACTAGCAAAAAATAGGTGAGAGTTCATTATGCACATAACACACTCAAGGGTGCAAACAGAATTAACCCAAATCCGTCACCAGTTTTAGCGAGCCACCAATGTGTAGGTACCAAGGCTTCAGTTTTCTAAATCTAGGGATATTTAGCTTTGGCACTTGGGTTTTCTACCTCTGAAGCCTTCAGAGTACCTCTGAATCAGGCTAATTAGAAAAAACAAAATACATAGGTAGCATTTTTTGGTTGAATCTGCACTGAGTGTGGATACATGTGCATTTTTAAAAATATATATAATCAGCACTTCTAGATGGATGAGAAGCATTGCAAGTTTAAGAACAAAAGACCAAAATGGAAAGGAAGAGCACACTCAGAGTCAAAGTGGTTAAGCCAGGTATCAGGATCTGGTAGACACATGAACACCGCTTTTCCTCAAAAGATCAGTAAGTGGATTTCAACATTAATATAAAGCATATTTTGTTTGGCATAGTAACCAAAGAAGGAAAGAGTGCTGTTAATTTTTAACATGTGGGACATTAAACCAGCCAATAAAGCAAAATCCATCGTGAGTTTGAAGACAGAATTAGTAGGGAAACACAAGAATATTGGTTTTAATTGAAAGGTTTTTGCGGGGGCGGTGTGTGTGTGAGAGAGAGATAGTGTACCTTTTAACTGTGTGTGTGTATTTTAATACCAGCCAATTAACATGAAAATAAAAATAAATCAAGGTTTGACTTTTGTTGTATTTGATTACATGTGCTTTAGCTTTAATATGTAAGTCAGTATTCACATTGGGATGACAATATTCGGAATCAGGTATCAAAACTGTTCAATGTACTCAACATGGTACACAGAATTTCTAAGTAGACTCTTTCTCTATATAGTGCAGGTGTCGAGCTTGGTATCTCATTACTGACAATTTATGACATTTTTTAGATGCTTAGGGTTGGCTAATTGTGTGTGTTTATGTGTGCATTTCTCCTTGGAAATACATTTGAAAGAAGCAGATGGTTCAGAGTTGAGGGAACATTAGTTTTAAAGGCAGTTACAAAATGATTGGACTTCTACAGATTTATTTATTTGTATTAATTTATTTATTTTTATACAATTATAAAAATATGCTATTACAGTTGTTCCCACTTTTTCTCCCTTTACCCACCTCCACCCAGCCACCCTCCACCCTCCCTAAGTCAGTCACCACATTGTTGTCCCTGTCTATGGGTTTTACATAAATGTTCTTTGATAAATCTTTACCATGTTTCCTCCCATCTGCCCCCTTCCTTTCTGGCAGCTGTCAGTCTGTTTCATGTATCTAATCTTCTGTTACTATTCTGTTGGTTTATTGTGTTCATTAGATTCCACATGTAAGTGCTGTTTGTCTTTCACTGACTGGCTTAATTCACTTAGCATAATATTCTCCACGTCCATCCATGCTGTTACAAAATGTAAGTTTCTTTTTTATTGCTTCATAGTATTCCATTATGTAAATGTTTTGTACCACAGCTTTTTTATCTACTTGTCTATTCCTGGGCACTTAGGCTGTTTCCAAATCTTGGCTATTGTAAATAGCACTGCTATAAACATATATTTTTTGGGGGGGGTCCTTAGGATATGTTCCCAGAAGTGGAATATCAAGGTAGAAAGGGAGTTGCATTTTTAATTTTTTAAGAATACTCCACATTGTTTTCCATAGTGGCTGCACCAGCCTGCATTCCTATCTATAGTGCATGAGGGTTCCCTTTTTTCCACATCCTCACCAACACTTGTTTGTTGGTTTATTGATGGTAGCCATTTTGACAGGTATAAGTGATATCTCATTGAAGTTTTAACTTACATTTCTCTGATGATCAGTGATGTTGAGCATTTTTTCACATGTCTGTGGGTCCTCTGCATGTTCTCTTTGGAGAAGTGTCTATTCAAGTCTTTTGCCCATTTCTTAATTGGGTTGTTTGTCTTCCTGGTGTTGAGTTGTATTAGTTCTTTGTATATTTTGGGATTAAACCCTTACCAGATGTGTCATTGGCGAAAATGTTCTCTCGTACAGTGGGTTTCCTATTTGTCTTGTTCATGATTTCTTTAACTGTGCAGAAGCTTTTAAATTTGATATAGTCCCATTTGCTTATTTTCTCCTTTATTTCCAGGGACTTAGGAGGTATATCAGCAAAAATACTGCTATGTGGAATAGCTGAGACTTCACTGCCTGTGTTTTCTTTTAGGATTTTTATATTTTCATGACTTACATTGAAGTCTTTTATCCACTTTGAGTTTATTTTTGTGTATGGTGTACGTTGGTGGCCTAGTTGCATCTTTTTTGTGTGTACTAGCCCAGTTTTCTCAACACCATTTATTGAAGAGACTGTCTTTTGCTCCACTGTATGTTCTTACTACCTTTGTCAACTATCAATTGATCATACAGGCGTGGGCTTATTCCTGGGCTCTCTGTTCTATTCCATTGATCTGTGTGTCTGTTCTTATTGCCAATACCATGCTGTTTTTATTACAGTGTCCTTATAGTAGAGTTACATATCAGGAGCGATACCCCTAGCTTCTTCTTTTTGCAAGATTGCTGAGGCTATTTGGCGTCTTTTTTGGTTCCATATAAATTTTTGGAATATTTGTTGTAGTTCTATGAAATATGCAGTTATTGCTTTGGGCAGAATGGACATTTTAATAATGTTAATTCTTCCTATCCATGAACACAGTATATGCTTCTACTTATTTGTATCTTCTTCAGTTTTTTTTCAGTGGCCTATAGTTTTCCAAGTACAGGCCTTTCATCTTCTTGGTTAACTTTATTCCTAGGTACCATATTATGATTACTTTTTGGTTGCACAAGTAAATGAAATTCTTCTTAGTTCCTCTTTCTGATAGCTCATTATTGGTGTATAAAAATGCCATCAATTTCTGGGTATTAATTTTGCACCCTCTACATATTTCTTTGTAGTTTGGAAAGAGAATGGAAAACTTAAGACAATAGTGGGTACCTACAGTAGTCACTTTGCTTGATTGAGTAATTGGACTAGCTATTATTGGGCAACAGTCATGTGCCTATTGTTCTGTCTGTGTCTGTACAAAAGCATGAAATTACCACCCTACTCTGCATTTGACAGATGGCGAAAGGGAGGCTCAGAGGAGTGAAGGCTCAGAGAAGTGAAGCAACCTGCCCTAAACCTGTAGTCATTGAATGGCAGGGTCAAAATACAAACCCAAGTCTGACTCCATTGCCAGCTAGCTGACATTCTTTCCTGCCACAGTGAGACTAGGATGTATTTATGTTGGGAGAAAGAAGTATGTTCTGTAAAACTTTCAGAAAAGATATGTGTGTGCGATTTTCACACCTTTGGCAAAAAGCTCACTTATGTGTTTGTGGAAGTAACAGTAGCATCAGACACTCCTAGCACCCTGTGAGATAGGTATTGCTGTAGATTGAATGTGTGTGTCCCCTCAGAACCGATATATTGACAGCTTAACCCCAAGGTGTTGGTGTTAAGAGGTAGGGCCTTTAGGAGGTGCTTATTAGGTCATGATGTTTGAGCCCTTGTGACTGGGATTAGTGCCCTTATAAAAGAGACCCCGGGAGCTAACCAGCCTCTTCTGCCAAGTGAGATCGCGGCAAGACCACGTCAGCTGGCCATCTAGGAAGCCGGCCCTAGTAGGACAGCAAATCTGTCAGCACCTTATTTTGGATTCCAGAACTGTGAGAAAAATTTCTGTTGCTTATAAGCTACCCAGTGTATGGTATTCCTGTAAAAGCAGTCCGAATGGAGTAAGTCAGGTACTATCATGACCCTCCTCTACAGGTGAAGAAACTGAGGGAGGCTCAAGTACTTGGGGTAAAACCATCTAAATTCAGATTTTGACTCTGTTGGGCCACAGGGTTCTAGTGGTTTCCTGGCAATGGTGGGCAATTTCTGGAGTGGAGTCACCAGACCTATATTCAGGTCCTCATTCTACTAATTATTAACATTGTGAGATTCTTAACTTCTTAGAAGCTTTCTTTTTTTTTTTATTTTTTATTTTAAAGATCTTATTTATTTATTTGTAGAAAGAGGGGAAGGAGAAAGAGAGGGAGAAACATCAATATGTGGTTGCCTCTCGAGCGCCCCCTACTGGGGACCTGGCCTGCAACCCAGGCAGGTGCCCTGACTGGGAATCAAACCGGCAACCCTTTGGTTCACAGGTCAGCGCTCATTCCATTGAGCCACGGCAGCCAGGGCAGAAGCTTGCTTTCTTGACTGGAGCTAAATGGTGCCTGTGTAGAAATGTAGAAAACATCAAGTGTATAATAGAATGCCTGGACCCTGGTAAGTGCATAATAAAGGATATTTTACTATTAATACTAGCTACTATTAATAAAGGGCATCTATTATTAATGTTATTGCTGTTAGGCACAGATGTATGTATGTCTGTATTTTAGAGAGAGAGAGAAAAGGAAAGAGAAACATCAATTTGTTTCACTTATCTATGCATTCATTGATTGATTCTTTTATGTACCCTGACCAGGGATCGAACCTGCAACCTTGGTGTATGGCAACAATGCTCTAACCAACTAAACTACCTGACCAGGGTGCTATAGAGGCTTTTAAAACTTTTTTAAATCTCAGGATTTCCATGAACTCATATTGTTCCAACTGTGAACCTTTTTGGGACTGGGTTTCAGCGTATCCTCCAACTTGAGCTGACATCACCGGAACGGAATCTCCCCTAATTCCCTCTGACATTTCTAGAAGGACATCTGACCTGTGTCACAAGTCTTGACCTCATTGTCACTTTCATAGATTGCGCCATTACGATGGCTGAGGCTGAGTACAGCCAGCCTACCCTGCATGAGAGTGATGTTGGCAACTTTGTAACAAGAAAGTATAATTTACATTACTGCTAATCTAGTGTCAGGAGAAAGTTCCTTTTAAAAACGGGATCATCTTCCTTTGATCTGTACTGTTTGATATCTTGAGGGAGGCCTTGAGTGAGGTAGATATGCAAAAAGGAGAAAAGGATTAGAAAAGGGAGCACTTTTCCTTTATAAAAGCTGAATGAATTGAACAGGGCTTCAGAATTCAAAATAGCTGCATCCAGTTCTTGGACCTGAGTTTTAAACCACAGCCTAGCATACTTCGTGGCAGATGAGGACACGGATATTTTGGGCCACCTGTTGCCTTCAAGACCAGCATATGAACCTCTGGTATTCCTGGCCTTGACCCTATGCTGAATATGAGGCCACAGGAACTTTAGATAGCATCTCAGGACAGTCTGGACCTTCGCGAACATCTGTGACCTGTGGCCATCCTGGGCAGTGCTGGTTACTAGGAATCCTTTGAGGCGTCTGGACAAATGACTTATGTCCAGCTTGAGGTCAGTGGTCCAGGAGTGAAAGAGGTTGGGGTGGACTTAGTTAACCTCAAGCTTGATATGTGTAAGCAGTGTGGTGAGACTTCCAGCAAAGCATGAGCACCCAGTAAATGTTAGCTATTGCTATGGTGGTGGTGTTAGGTGTCCTTTTATCAAGTCAAAATCTGCCTCCCCGTAACTTTCACCCTGTGTTCCTTGACAATACAGTATACCTAATGTTTTCTACATGACAGCTCATTAGATATTTAAAGACAGTTGTTTCGTCTTGACTTTTCCATGGGGTCCTACTCTCTGAAGAACCGAGACCCAAGCCCTGACTTGCCAGACCTCATCACCCATGAGATTCGGTGCGGGTTGTGTTGGGTCACTAGAAAGTATTGAAGTGCAGACTGCAGGATGGCTTCTTGGGGTTTTCATAAAGGGATCAGGTCAGTGTTGACCTGGGTGGCCTTGAACACTGAGATTTAATAATCCCTATGGGTTCCACGGCAGCAAACCACGTTTTGTTCCTTTGGGCCAGGCCCCTGGCTAAATTTTGGATGACACACTGAGTTGATGTGGTTCTAAGCTGGAGTGCAGCCTACAGTGGTTACTTGGCTTGATTTTATTCAAATGCTATCTATGATGGTTCCATAAGTCACTCTACTGTGGGTATTTGAGTCAGAGACTTGAACATAGTTGAGAACGTTACTATTTATACTTCCTCAGCTGCCTATGTTTGATGAAGAGATGCTATACATTCAGAGGAAGGAAGGCACTGTCAGTTGGGCCAAGGGAATGTCATATCTTCCTACCTTTTAAGGAAGATTCTTACTATGAGGAAGTGGCCCAAATGTGATTTTATTCTGTGGGGTGACCACATAGTATTTCATCAACACTTTTAAAAGAATGGTAACCCGGGTAGTATGTAGGTGTTGGCTCCTGCAGGCTCTGGGAGCTGGTTGTATGCATTACTTCCCAAGTCTGCATTCAGTGTCCTCGTGTTTGTAGCTTCAATTGGCCATAGTGGGTGCGTGAATGCTATGAAAATTGGCAAATGCTGACTTTCAGAGGGTTTTCTTTTCAGAGAGCCAGTTGTTAAACATTTACCGGTACA